ATTGCTCTCAAACTGTAGTATATTTAAAATTACAGTTGCTTTCCACCTCTCACTCATCGTTTCTAGAAAAGTTTCAAGGCATATCTTTTTTACTTGGCCTTTTAAATTTAGTGTTTTGTTGTTCTAGTGTTTTCAACAATGGTTTTACTATTGACTTTTATGTTCTTCCATTGTTCTTTTCACTCTTTGTGCACCACTGTGATGATTTTTAGCAAGAATATCCAGTCAATCAAAACAACCAACCAACCAACCACAAATGGTTTTAATTCTTATTGAAAAGCAGGAGGCACTATAAAGGAAAGGTTCATAAGTTTAAAGACTCAAGAACAAAAGTTGCAATTCCCTTTGTCTTACCTACAATTATTGTCCTGTTGCTCCTGCCTTCCATTATAAGCTCTTGTAAGGATGACTCACAGAGTATCATTTTAGGGTCTGACTACTCTAAAATGAGAATTAGAATTCAACTAAAAAAAGTGGGAGTCCCAGAACATCTCATTGTCCTCATGAGAAACTTATATACAGGTCAGGATGCAACATGGTGAAACAGACCTGCTCCAGGTTGGCAAAGGAGTGAGACAAGGCTGTATACTCTCCCCTTACTTATTCAACCTACTGTATATACCAAATATATATTAAGGAAAACTGGATTGGAAGATTAGTGTGGTTTTAATATTGGTGGAAGAAACATCTATAACCTGCACTATGCTGATGACTACTCTGATAGCTGAAAATGCAAAGGATCTGCATGCCCTAGTAATAAAAGTCAAGGAGCACAGTGAAAAGTGAGACTAAAATCAAATATAAAGACGACCAAACTAATGACACCAGGTAGAACCACCAGCCTTAGAATTGACAGTGAAGATATCGAAGTGGTGGATAGCTTTGGACTTTTAGGATCAACCATCAGCAGTAAAGGGACAAGCAGTCAAGAAATATGCCACAGACTAGCCTTGGTAGAGCAAGCCCTGAAGGCCTTGGAAAAGATATTCAAATACCGTGATGTGTCTATACCTCCAAAGATCAGAATCGTGCAAGCCATGGGTATATCCTGTGACACTCTATGGAAGTGAAAATTGGACTTTGAAGAAGCAGGATAGAAACAATATTGATGCCTTTGAACTTTGGTGTTGGAGAAGACTCCTGAGAATAACATGGACAGCCAAATAAATAAAGCAATGGATCATTGAACAACTCAACACAGAGTTCTCACTTGAGGCACAAATGACCAGGCTCAATTTATCCTACTTTGGACACATTATGCAAAGACCCAGCTCTCTGGAGAAGGCTGTAATGCATGGAAAGATGGAAGGAAAGAGTAGAAGAGGACAATCAGCAGCAACGTGGATTGACTCAGTTACAGCGGTGATGGGGGCGCTGTTGGAACCATGCTGCAAATCCTGTCTTAATTAGTTGGGCAACATGCAAGTCTAAAATCAGCTACACAATCAAGGTTCACCCCAAATCAAACTCCAAAATGATGAATGCTATCAACTATCATGAATACCCATTTATAATGGTTCATGGAAGACAAACAGAACTTACTATAGAGCTACAGTATTAAAATAGATGAAGACAAGTAAGATAAAAAAAAACAGATATGTAAACAGGAAATGAAGGGAAGCCTGAACAGTCTTTGAATGGTGTCTTTTACTGTACTTTAGTTACCAACGTAGTCCTTCCTTGATATTCCCCTTAGTCTATATTTACCTAACAAAAGCATGAAAGTGTGTTTGCATAATTAATGCCATATCTAGTTTGGCCCTCAGTCTTCCAGCCCATTCACTTTCTCAAGTCAAAGTTGGTATTCCTGCTCACTTCACCATTTTTAAATGTGACATTGCAGAATTGGAGTTTGACAGACTGGATACAGTTTCAACAAGCCTTAATTGTTGTTGAGGCTGATTAATTCACTATCATTGTCTAACAAGATGGTGTCACGCAAATTGAACTACAGCTTGGAACGGCTGATAGCCTTGCTTTGACCCTTTGCGACTGAATTTTCTTTACTTCAATATGCTGATTCATACACAGCATCTTTCCTTGATGCAGCTGTGCATTCATATTACAATCCCCTGTTGCAAACATTTCCTCCACCAACTGGATGCTTGTGTGTGTGCATGTGTGTACTATACAGAGAGAGAGAGTTATACACACATACACTTTCTTTATTGCTGCATCTTGAATAAGGCTCTTGCCTGTAAGAAGCTCATAATAAATTTGCTATTCCTTAAGGAGCCAGAAGACTTGCTATTTTTGTTCCTTTGGACTTACATAGCTGCTTGGCTAGAATTTGTTTTTAATAGGAGTGGACATTTACATCATGCTTTTCCACTGGAGTTTTGAGAAATGTAGTGGCAAGAGTCCTCATTTGACCTTCCAGGAGCCAGGGCTACAAAAGGGAGGATTTCTGCAGATTGTTATTTGAGTAGTTACATTCCACATCTTCTGGGTGACCAAAGACTAAGTTCCTTCCTAATGGGTGCCACATATAATCTCTCTAATTGCCCTTGATCAAGTTGAAGCTCCAGGTTTCTGTCTTGCAGTCTGCTTCTTTATAACCATCTCTGTTGGTTTTTCTGTTGTCTTGAGCAGCACTGGAATTTTCAAGGGTCCCACTACAAACTGCAGGGTCTTGCTGTCAAGTAGAGCTAATATAGCCTTACCTATCTAATCAGCTCCAAACTGCCAGTGACTTTTTTCCGCTTGTTTTTAGTTCCATACTTGCTGATGTTAACTAGCATTTCCTAAATGGCTTCTTACTGGCCCAGAAGAAAACATCATTAATGAGAGTACTGCCTTTTTGTATTGAAATTAATACAAAGTTTACTGTGGCCCCATGAGATGAACAGGCCAATTTCTGCCCTTCCTTAGGAATCTTAATGACAGTTAATGGAAGCAGAAATCACCCATTTGAAACTAAGGAGACTATATAACTCTGTCTTTGAAAAAAGGCTAAAACACCCTTACCTTTTTCTCTTTTTGTGTGAAGAATACCTTGCTGAAGGCATGCAAGTTACTGCTGGTGCCTCTGACATCATCTAGCTAGCTATCTAATTACTGTATGAAGACCACAGATTCTTAGGCTAATGAAGCCTAAGTTTGTTCTCCTTCTTCCTGTTCTGATGTAAAAAGGAAGATTGGGGGAAGGCTGGGCATTCTCTCCATACCTCTAACCCCTAAACAAAAAAGATTTGCGGTGGACAACATCAGGACCAGCTGCCCTGTAGAGTGACATGGCTGTCTCAGCTCCAATCTGTGGCTCTAGGCTGGCCTTAACTGTCAGCTGTTGTAGAAGATGTTGTCCTGTGGTGAAACAAGATTCAACAACCAATATAGGTAGCTCTTCTGGAATGGGATTATCTTATCCTTTGCTCAGGGTGTACGGTAACCAGGGCTAGCTCTGGTTATAAAAATTATATCCTTCTCTTTCAATCTCCCAACTGGAGTTAAGGCAGATAATGGTTGTTCCCTGCTAGGTCAATGCAGTGGCTAATATGCCTTTCTCCTTTCTTCTTACCTTCAGCTGAAAGCAGAAAAGAGCAACAGAAAATGAGGGGAATGTGTTAAAATGTGATACACAACAGCACTTTTTCTATGTCTGTAATGTATCTATGTATTGTGGGTGTTTGTGCATGTATGTGTACATGTGTGTCTGTATGTATGAAATCTCAGAATGTCCAGCTGATTATCCTCTTTCTTGCAAGCCATAGCACTTATTTACTTATTTATTTGGCCAGCTGCCAAATATATCCAAGAAGAATCTTCACAAACATTCATAGGATGGTGCATACCAAAATATCCCCACTCCAAGTCAGCAATGTTTGGAACTGAATATATCATGGATCCTCATGAGCACATGGATACTTCCATAATCATCATGCTCCTTTGCATAAGGGCTGCTCATGGTGGCATGAAATCTAACCACAGATCTACAGTATGTGACTCAGATGATTAATATGTCGTTATCCATAACATTTGGATACTGGCTTTGTGGAACTAGCTATCATCATACACCAGTTCTGTGAAGATTCTATCTCATCCTCTTCTCCTCTACAACAGTTTTTCCCTAAGCTGATATATTGCATATGAGTTGAATTAATATTCCATAATGCTTTAGCCATGTCGGCTGGAGATTGTGGGGACTGAAGTCTAGAATATCTAGTGCACAGTAAGACTGAGAGGGCCAGAGAGGATACAGAGGCATCACCAGCATCTCCTTGATGCAGGTCCAAATTGGAATTCTTTTATGATTGCATAGTAGGTTATGTCAGAGACAAAGTTCTGGAAATCATGGGAGACATTGTTTAGAGAAGATGACATCTGCAAGTCAAGTGATAATGAGTGGAGAGCTAGAGTAAACAAAAAGGAAAGGGAAGATGGAATCATATAGATGTTACAGATATTTTTAACCAAATGACCACTTAAGTTTAAGGATTTGTGCTAGCTGAGCCATATGATATGATATGATATGATATGATATGATATGATATGATATGATATGATGACATAATTTCTTATGGGCATGTTAAAGTTATGACAACTGTGATTTCTCTAGCATACACACTTGGGTTATTTATTAATGAATAAATATGTCAGTGCCCAATAGTTAAGAGTATATTGGAATGAAATGTTATGT